AGACAATCATTTTGAGGGTTTTCAGATCCTGCAAGATGCAGTAGGAAGAGACAAATTTGACAATACAGTTATTTGATGAGCATAATTTTGAAACTGAAATCAAGTTGAAATTAAAGGATGGTACAAACAATACATGAGACAATACAAGATTAGGTCCCAGTTTTAACTGTCCCACATGACTTGCCTCAGTATGTGCACCATTAGGAAGATTAATTTTAATAGATAATGGTGTTGGAGCAGAAGAAAAATAAGATATGTCACAAATCATATGGTCAGTTGCTCCAGTGTCTAAAATCCAGGTAGTTTTTGAAAATTTAGTAGCAGATGAAACATTGTTCAAGTATATACCTGCATTGGATGCATTATGATTTGTGTGAGCAGTGGCAACCATAGGAGAAACTCCAGTGCCCTATTTTTGCTCAACAGATCTTTTGAATTCAAGAAACTCATGTAACAAGGAGTCAGTCATAGAGGGAGTAGAAATAAGATCAGAAGAAAGATTCTCAGATGAAGAGACAACATTGTCTTGGGACTTATTTGGGTGAATTCTAGGACCACGAGGACCTACCCAATCAGGTGGATAGCCTATGACCTGATAACACCTATCTGTGGGATGAGGATATCCACAATGATCACACTTAAATTTTTTCTTATCTTTGAAATCCTTAGTGTTTTGAAATCTTTGTGGTTTGTAACCTGTTTTAGCAATCATAGCAAGAGAGTCCAAAGATTTGGAAGTATTGTTTAAAGCACGTTGACTCTCTTCCTGTAACAGTAGTGAATAAACTTTTGACAGAGATGGCAAAGGAAATGCCAACAGAAAGTGACTCCTCAATGATGAGTAGGACTCATTCAGACCAATAAGAAATTGTTGTGTTCGCTAGTACCGTACGGGCTTTAAGCAGCGGAATTTAAAATTTTTCAAAATAAGTATTTATCGTATAAATACAACACCCGTACATACTAATTGCGAATTAACTGATAGTCATCTTTAAAACATGCATCATATACAAATTTTGATTTGTTATATAAAATAAATACAAATACAAAGTATTTACCGAATGTCTTGAACTCCTTCAACGACGATGTGGATTGTGGGAAGCACAGGCCTTCGAGATTACAACTTGTAAAATTACCCACACATACGTGGGCCTTTGTCATCGAACGGTCTCCACCTTGATCTAATCTCTAACGATACAAAATTTAAAATTTTACAAATTTCATCTCAACAGACTCGCAGGTCTCGATAAATTACATTTCTTCAATCATATTGAAAAACATAATTAAACATCCATTCATTCATTCAATCACATTGAAAATGAAAACATACATTCAATCATATTAAATATGAGGCTCATGATCATCCCTAAATCATTCATCTAATGAATAATGTTTTTTTTTTCTTTTATTTATCTCGCGAGATAAGTCGCGACTCGCGAGTCCAACTCGCGACTCGCGAACAACATCTCGCGACTCGCGAGAAAAACAGAGACAAAAACTCGCGGCTCGCGACTCGCGACCTAAGTCGCGACTCGCGAGAAAAACTGAGGCTCCAGGAAAAAAAAACTGAAATTATCATGTCGCGACTCGCGACTATGACTCGCGACTATGACTCGCGACTCGCGACTTCAGAATTTTTTTTTTTTTTTTTATTTATTTTTGATAATTAATATATTTATCTCATAAACATTTAATTATCTTGCTTAACTCATAAGCAATAACAAATCAAAATATGTTTTAAAGACGATAAACCTGGGCTCTGATACCACTGTTGTGTTCGCTAGTACCGTACGGGCTTTAAGCAGCGGAATTTAAAATTTTTCAAAATAAGTATTTATCGTATAAATACAACACCCGTACATACTAATTGCGAATTAACTGATAGTCATCTTTAAAACATGCATCATATACAAATTTTGATTTGTTATATAAAATAAATACAAATACAAAGTATTTACCGAATGTCTTGAACTCCTTCAACGACGATGTGGATTGTGGGAATCGGTTCCCGGTTTGATAACTTCAACGGATTGATGTTACTCACTTTAGGAATCCAAGTGTCTTCCCTCTAAACGTATCCACCCTATGAAGCCCGGTTCCGACGACCTTCCTTCGCTAGTAGGAATGTCTCGGTTTTCTTGTATAGGAATATGTATGAATTTTATTTTGGGAATTTTCAAGAACTCTTTCTTGATGTTTATGAAGAACTATTCTTCTTTCTAACACTTAGAAATTTTAGGAATGAATTCACCTTAAATGCAAAACCATTTTGCATCTATTTATACTAAACATTTTAGCATAAAATAATCAACATTTAGTAATATTTAAATAAAATCAGATTTTATTTAAATAATATTTACTAACTATTGACTTTGAATTTACTAACTATTGACTTTGAAAATAATAAATAATGTTAAGTGGTTCAAACCACCTTTAACCACCATTTTATTATAATCATATTTATTATTTTAATCCTTAAATCATATTTAAAGATAAAAATAATAATAGAATAATAAATCTTGAGAATCTTTTCAAGACTTTATTATTATATTCATTTTCCCAATTTACATCCATATTATAATAATCATATTATTATTATTTTGGTTTGGAAATTTAAAATCCAATTTTAAATTCCAACATATTAATTTAGTAATTACCTTAATTACTAAAGTAATATCCAAAATGTAATTAATCAATCTTATTGATTAATATATTCCTTTTAATTGATATCTAATCAAATTAGATTATGTCAATTAATTCTAACTCTTTAGAAATACAATTTTTCACCTTTGTTCATAATAGGTGTGACCTTTTAGGTTCACCTTAATACTAGTAGTGGGTTTACAACTCTTTGTAATTTGAGTTAATCACATTAACTCTTATTCATGAATTAACCCTTTAATTCAAGAACCCACATATCATGGGAACACCTAGCAAGTAGCATGAATCTAGTATTAAGTGAATAGCGAGTAAACCTATTCCGATTACAACTCCATACATGTAAAATCCTTTCGACATCTAATTTCCCGATTAAGTCTTGGGTATGATTTTGTCGAAACCCAAATTGACTTAATAACTATGATTCTATTTCAAGTTTATTAACCCTGTTATGAATCACTATTCATCTCTGCCTTGGCCAAGGACTTTGGATTAATAACTATGAAACACATAGGAAATTCACTTATCTTCATAAGTGTCGAATCCTTTATTGGCCACTAACAAACTTCCATACATATTAACATAATACCCAACTTATCCCTTTAAACGATAGTGCTAGCTACCAAAAAGATAAATCAAAGTAGAATGTAATATGCACAAAGTTACCATTGTGCCTCAAGTCTTAGGATTAGTCATGTACTATTGTAACATGAAAATTCTTATTCGACTGAATAAATTCTTCATTAAGAATTTTCATACGGTCATGTTCAGTGAACTTGTTCTCTAACAAGCACCCACATAAATGTACTTACGTCTTACGCTAATGTTGATGGAATGCAACATTCTTGTCCAACAAGCATACAAACTATGTGCAAGTCTTTTATGGATTATTCGATATCCCATCTCGAAACATCCATCGACTTGGAACTGTATTTAAGATCACGGCTTTCAAGGTATGTTCCATGATCACCATCTCTATGCGCAACCATACCTTATAACCATAAGTGATCTAGGGATTTTATCTTAAGTGCAATTATAAGATAAATGCTTTCTCTTAAGATAAAGAAATGCCTTATTCATAATTTAATTCCAATAGACTGTATTTACATGTAGAATACGTCCAATTAGATTGGAACGCCGGGTACCCTACTCTAACAGAAATTTCATCACAGAATCATTAGATTGAGCAACAGTCATTGAGCCAAAAATGTTACAGGTACAGGAGGTAAAGGCACCACAGGTACAACGAAAAACAGGCCCGTGTGTAACATATTCATCCCAGAGGCTTTTGAAAGAGTTATAGTATTGGGTAATTGACATAGATCCTTGATCCATGGTACTCAGAGATTTTTCAAGATGAAAGACTCGAGGACCACTACTAACAGAATATCTAGACTTCATTTCCTCCCAAACATCTTTGGCAGAATTAAAAAATAAAAGAGATTGACGTATTTCCTTTGAAACAGAGTTCAGAATCCATGATAAGACCATATTATTCGCACGCATCCAAGCTAATGAAAGTGCATGATCAGCAGTATTTAGAGGAACAGGAATCGTACCATCAATAAAGCCAACCTTATTTTTGACACTGAGTGCCATGAGAACAGATCGCGACCAGGAAACATAGTTGTCGCCATTGAAAGCTTCAGCCACGATCACAACACCAGGATTGTCACTGGCATGTAGAAAATATGGAGAAGATGGATCATCTGTGAGACGGAAGGTCGAGGTCGAAGTCGGAGTCACCATGATAGGGTTTAGATCCAATCAAAAAATACTGAATCGGTAACAAATAGAAACTAAATCGAGTGAGATCTGTGTAAGGAAGAACAGATCAAAGCCGATTGAGAACGATTGAAACCAAAACAATCAAAAAATATCGAGAATCGGAGAAAAAAAATCGAGAATCGATCGAGATTGTGATCGATCAAAAGAAAATACAAGAGTAGCAGAAAATCAAATCAAAGTGCGAATCGAGAAACCTTTAACTGATACCATATTAGATTTATAAATTGTAAATCACAATCGATAGAGCAAAATCAAAAGAGAAATTTGTTCTATCAAAAGAGAAATATTATTGAAGAGAAAGAGAGAATGAAAGATTATCTGCGCACAATGTGAAAGAGAAAAATATGTAGAGTGAATATGGAAACCCTAAAGACAAACCTATTTATACTATACGCTAAAATACATAAAATGTTAACACTCCTATTACAAAAAAAGGTGTTAAATGTAAAATAGCACTTCTATATTCTAATACCTCTTTCTCTACCCATCTAGATCTACTACTCTTCTTCCTCCTCTCTCTCTTCCCTTTCCCCCATTCTCTCTCTCAACATCACCCACGTCCTCTCTCCCTACTCCAATTTCTCCAATTTCACCGACCTCTTCACCACATACGCCGTCGGCGCCGATCTCTCCGCCCGCTCCAACATCACCATCCTCGCTGTCCCCAACAACCTCCTCTACGCCCCATCCTCCGCCGCCCTCCCTGACGTCCTCCGCTACAACGTCCTCCTCGAGCGCCTCACCCCTTCCGACCTCGACCGCATCCCTCCCTCCGGGAAACTCGTCGCCACACTCTTCCAGACCACCCGCGCCCTCGATAACTCCCGCTCCGGCTCCGTCAACATCACCCGCGACCCCTTCTCCCGCACTGTCACCTTCAGCTCCATCTCCCACACCTCCAAAGCCACGCTGCTACCCCCAGAGAAACCCTAACTCGCGACCCCAACGTCTCCGTCCTGCCACTCAGCTCGCTCCTGATCCCTAGCAGCCTCAATCTCATGGCCTCCGAGACCTGGCCGCCATTGGGGCTCAACATCACCCAGGAGCTCATCGACGGCCACAATTTCAACATGGCGGCGGCCATGCTCACCGCCTCCGGGGTGGTCTCGGAGTTCGAGGCCGATGAAGCCGGCGCCGGAATAACCCTTTTCGTCCCCACAGACGCTGCTTTCAGAGATCTTCCGTCCTCCGTCAGGTTACAGTCTCTGGCCGCTGACCAAAAGGCCATTGTCCTCAAGTTCCACGTACTTCACTCCTACTACCCCCTGGGGACACTGGAATCCATCGTTATCCCAATTTATCCCACGCTGGCCACCGAGCAGAATTGGGCAGGACGTTTCACTGTCAACATCTCCCGTGTTAATGGATCTGTGGCCATAGACACCGGTTTGGTGCTGGCTTCAGTCACGCAATGGTTTTCGACCAGAATCCGGTTGCCATATTTGGGGTGTCCAAAGTTTTTCTTCCCAGAGAGTATGTCGGTGGCAGTGGGGTGATTCCTGCCGCCCCACCACCGGATATTGCTGCCTCAACAACAACAACAACAACAACATAGCCTTTTAGTCCAAGCAAGTTGGGCGGAAAATCATCTCGGCCCCTCGTCTCATTTGCAGGCGCCACCAGTGCTTGAACAGGCTTCGGGTGCATTGAGGATATCCATGGCTTGGTGGTGTTTGGTATTCTGCTGTGTGTTATTGCTATAGCTAAGATGGTTGGTTTGTACTAACGGCATTGTATCAACCTTTTCTTTTTTTGGTGACACGGGGAAATGGAATTGATGCTACAGAAGTGGAAATAAGCAGCCATTTTTCCGACTGGGATTGAAGCATTTGAGAAGAAAGGAGCTATCGATCTTTTCGTTTATAAGGTAAAAGAGAGAAATTGCTCAGATTCATGTTGATTTGTTGGCAAATTATATTGAGGTTAGAGGCTATTCTATTTTTCTCTGGTCATAATTCTTGGGGATATGCATAGTTGTTTTGCTGTAAAGAAATCTCAATGTTCCACCATTTGTTTGTTGTGTAATATATAATGACAAATCCATTTTTTCTGTACAAATGAGACTGAAGGAAGTCAGATTTTATTTATTTGTTTTTTATATTATTTTTCTGTTGTCCCATTCCACTAATTTGATTCAAGCTCCGGCCATGAACTTCCAAAAAGGCTGAGAAGCTGCTTAATTACTTGTGGTGACTGCTTAACATTTTCTGATGAGAGAGTAGTTGCTGGGTTTTGGAAAATTTTGTGATTCATGCAAGTGGTTCAAATGTACTGCGAATATGTATATTTCTCTAGTTTGTCATGGATCATAGAGTGAAAGCTTGGTTCTTGCATCATTCAATTGCAGTTAATCTCTGTTGTCTGTCATTTTGTTTTTCCATGTTTCATCTTTCTGTTCAGTTTCTTGTTCTGGATGCTTTGAGATATTTTCTGACCTTATAATAAAACTATCAACTGCCTTCACTTACTCACATTTGCACTAGTGAGATAATACAGAACTAGGTTAAAGATCTAGTGAAGTATGACTGGAGCTAGTTGCAAATGAAAGGTACCATGGGATTGAACTATTTGATTGCTTTCACTTTTCACTTGTCTTAATGCATTTGTTTACATGATTGTTGAATGTGTGATTAAGTTTGATTGCATTATATCGTGGTTTTTTTTCCCTTGGTAGTTCGATTAAGGGATTGATTGTCCAAAATTTACATGACAATTATGGGCCGGTTCTATAAAATGGATTCAAGATTTTAAACCCTAGCATCTTGTTGTTTGGGTAAAGAACCCACTGACTATTGCGGAAAACTCCTTTCATCTCATTCTATCAAGACTGTAAATATTTGAAGGTTGGATACGAACCTTCATGTGTCCCAGGAAATATGGTAATATGGTGATCGAATATATAAGGGAAGTATTTATTTTATTGGTTCGGTTAAATATCTGAAATATTAATCAACATTAGCTGATTGGTCTAGTTATTCGTGCAGGATCGTAAAGCTTATTCTATGGACGCGCTTACCATATTGAGGGATTAAAAGTTGCATGTCCAACATTCCATAATTGACAGAAAATCAAGGAACTTACCTTCCTGGGCGTGGCTTGGCAGGGAAGGACTATCTTGACTTAAGAGTTGAAGAGATAAAAACGATGGATGACGGACAAATATGATGCTGGAGTAATTATCTTTTGAATATTGCGACAAGAAAATTGTGCGAAGCGAAAAACAAAATCAAGATCATCTCAAGTGTAATTCTTTTCTATTTTGTGAGATTAAGTGTGAGACGAGAGTTTGTTCTCTTACTTTGTGCAGGACGTTTCACTGTCAACATCTCCCGTGTTAATGGATCTGTGGCCATAGACACTGGTTTGGTGCTGGCTTCAGTCATTATAGAATAGTTTTAAACTTATTTTATGCTATGGAAAGTCAATATAGAATAGTTTTAGTATATTTTGCTTTGAGTTTGGTCCACTCATTATAACCGCTACTTATATTTTCAGGATCAGTGTAGGGGTGAGGGACATATTAATTATTTGCTTATTCTCCTCATTCATAATCAAGGTGACAGTAAGCAGTGAATTGGATAAATTCTTAGGCTCCTTCAATCCGTTTATAACTTGGCTTCCCCTTCGAACCTTGGGGGTGACGACACTATCAATCGATTGGAGTTTCTGGCCATGACATGTTACTCAATTCCTCACGCGCTGTTTCAAGAAATATTGACTGTATGCGTAAGATATTCGCATGATTGGTGGGCTACAACGATCATTTGCTTGTATATTTACGGGGTTTCATTTATAATGAATGGCATCCTAGGGTACATGGTAAATAAATACCGAAACCATGCAGTGGTGTTGCATTGGGTAGATCTGGAGAAATTTGGGTGGTTGGTAGTGCTCATAGCGAATACCACTGCGTCTAATCCCGATAGTACATGGTTTTGGTATTTTATTTACACCCTAGGATGCCATTCATTATAAATGAAACCCTGTAAATATGCAAGCAAATGATCGTTGTAGCCCACCAATCATGCGAATACCCTACGCATACAATCAATATTGCTACCCTACGCATACAATCAAAATTGCTTGAAGCAGCACATCTGTGAGGAATCAAGTAACATGTGAGGAATCGAGTAACATGTCCTGGCCAGAAACTCCAATCGATTGATAGTGTCGTCCGGAGAAGCGACAAACCCACCCCAAAGGTTATTGCTTGAACCAGCGCATCCGTGAGGAATCGAATAACATGTCCTGGCCAGAAACTCCAATCGAATAACATGTCCTGGCCAGAAACTCTAATCGATTGATAGTGTTGTCCACATAAACGACAAACCCACCCCAAAGGTTAGGAGGGGAAGCCAAGTTATAAATGGATTGAAGGAGCTTAAGAACTTATCCAATTCACTGCTTACTGTCACCTTGATTATGAATGAGGAGATGGCTAATAATTGATAAAACACCTAAAGTGCCTCTCACCCCTACACTGATCCTGAAAATATAGTAAGTAGCGGTTATAATGAGTGGGGCCAGAATGAAAAAACTCAAAGATAAATATACTAAAACTATTCTATATCGACTTTCCATAGCATAAAATAAGTTTATAACTATTAGACACCGAGCAGAATCCGGTTGCCATATTTGGGGTGTCCAAAGTTTTGCTTCCCAGAGAGTATTTCGGTGGCAGTGGGGTGATTCCTGCAGCCCGCCCCCGGATATTGCAGCCCCATCGTCTCATTTGCAGGCGCCACCAGTGCTTGAACAGGCCTCAGGTGCATTGAGGATATCCATGGCTTGGTGGTGTTTGGTATTCTGCTATGTGTTATTGCTATAGCTAAGATGGTTGGTTTGTACTAACGGCATTGTATCAACCTTTTATTTTTTTGGTGACAAGGGGGAATGGAATTGATGCTACAGAAGTGGAAATAAGCAGCCATTTTTCCGACTGGGATTCGTTTAAAAGGTAAAAGAGGGAAATTTCTCAGATTCATGTAGATTTGTTTGCAAGTTATGTTGAGGTTATAGGTTATTCTATTTTTCTTTGATCATAATTCTTGGGGATATGCATATCTGTTTTGCTGTAAATAACTCTCAATGTTCCACCATTTGTTTGTTGTGTAATATGTAATGACAAATCCATTCTGTACAAATGAGACTGAAGGAAGTCAGATTTTATTTATTTGTTTTTTATATTATTTTTCTGTTGTCCCATTCCACTAATTTGATTCAAGCTCCGGCCATGAACTTCCAAAAAGGCTGAGAAGCTGCTTAATTACTTGTGGTGACTGCTTAACATTTTCTGATGAGAGAGTAGTTGCTGGGTTTTGGAAAATTTTGTGATTCATGCAAGTGGTTCAAATGTACTGCGAATATGTATATTTCTCTAGTTTGTCATGGATCATAGAGTGAAAGCTTGGTTCTTGCATCATTCAATTGCAGTTAATCTCTGTTGTCTGTCATTTTGTTTTTCCATGTTTCATCTTTCTGTTCAGTTTCTTGTTCTGGATGCTTTGAGATATTTTCTNAACATCACTCTTCTCCCGGTGGAAGGGAAACAATGCTACATCTGTATTACAGTTTAACCGGCAAACACTTTGACCCGGTCAAAATCCAAAAACCCAAAATAAAATAATTACCTTTCTTGTTATAGCAACAACACACTATGTATGGAGGCTCAAGGGCTTATCGACCTCGGCAACTATTCGGCCTGAACCGCGGCCCATTTTCCCGAACGAGCCTATTGCAGATAAACCCTTGAAGCTGCTACTCCCTTCGCTCGAGTTCCTTGACCTCCAAGATTTGCGGGGCTTTGTTACATCACGCTCCTTTTGTTTTCCAGTTTCAACATTGGCAACAACTAATCTTACAATGTTGCTCCTGCAGAAGGGGCAAACGGGCAATGAGAGGCAAGCAGTTGTCGGGTTTGGCTTATTGTGGCAGCACAATGCAAGCATGCAATGGGCACACATTCGGTGCCCGCATTCTTGAATCTCGATGCCGCATGATTGGTTGAAACATATGCAGCAAAGCTCCGTCTCACTACCCTGAATAATATATAACACGATCATATACGACAAAAAATCCAAAGAGAAAAGAAAATTAATAAATAAATGAAATTAGTAGGAAAAAACTACCTCGGACATGTTATCATCTGTCTCATGGTCGGATGGTGATGGTGATAGCATTGAGTAAGCCGTTCCCTTCAAGATGGTCTTTTCCCGCTCTCTGTTAGCCTCCATAAGTGCATTCTCTAGAAGGATTTTTGCCTCTTCATTAAGCTCACTTATGAATTTCAAAGGTGAAGGCCACACAAGGGGCTCTGCGGACGAGGGATTCAACAAAGCTGCACATGCTCCATGATGATTCCGTAAAGCTATTGTGTATGGTATTCTCCTAAACCATGCTAATATTGTTAGGTTTCTACATTTTATGAGACTTTAATAAAGAAACCTTAGAAATAAGAAAATGCAATAGACACTTGGGTCGGAAAGAAATGCGTCACTCGTGAATCAGAACAAATGAGAGATGTTCAGGTTTTTTTCGCGAACCAATGTCGGAGAAAAATTCAAACAATATGAATAGATTTTCATTAAAAGGAACTTCATTGTTAATACGTTTTTGTAAAGTAATCACCATGCAAAAAAAGCTAAAAGCATCTCATTGAGTCATAGTGACACAAATACTCAGTCTTGTCAAAGTAATTAAGAAGGGAAAAAGAAAAATAACGAATACCCGGATGCATCTCTTTGAAGCCGGTCAGCACCCCACGCAAGCAATTCTCTAATACAATCAAGAGAACCACTTCTCGCAGCCAAATGAAGGGGCGTGCTGCTCGGAAAGCTGTATAATGGTGGGGAAGAAAAAAGACCAATCAGGAAAAATAATTTTTCACAAGGAAATACAGAAGGTACTATACCCATATCCACTTGTTAAAGCACAAACGAGAGCTCCACTGTCCAACAACACGTGAACACATTCAGGCCGCCTTTGACGGGCTGCCAAATGTAACGGTGTTGCTCCTTTGCCATCTCTAATGTTTACGAAACGAGAATATCCCCTATAAATATTTCGGTTCACATAACAACGGATCACGCTCAGGAGAAGAAAATGACAATAAAATTTCTGGTATAAATCACAAAATCAATCAAGAACAAGAGCCTACCAAGAAGAAGCCACTTGGGAGGTTCTGGCTGCAGAAAGTATGAGTTGAAGGCAATCCGAATGGCCATAGTATGCGGCGTAATGCAAACACGTTCTTCCGTTAAGTGAATCGAACATTAAAATCTGAATCCGGAAGAGGTTCCAAAGTCAAAAACATATATTGAGACTCTGTTTCCTACTTTAATCAGGAATAAATTAGATAGCAAGGGCTATCAATTAACGAATAAGATCAGTCAAGTCACTAGACATACATTAGCACCAGCTTCAATTAGCTTCATCACACAGAAGATCTTGCCATGCATTGCAGCCAACATTAATGGAGTCTACAAATATCACGAAGAAAGAAAGAAAGAAAGAAAGGATAGCCAAGTTGTTAGAATGAAAGTCTCATCAAGATCAAACCTTTTTCATACTAATTCAATTAAAAAGAAAGCAAAACACAAATGTAAACTATATATTGACACAAAAAACGGACAGCACAAATGGACCTGCTTGTGACGATTTAACAAATCCGGCTTCACATATCGGTCCAGAAGCAAAGAAAGAACCTATAAAACAACCCGTATACAAATCAAAAAGGAGGCAAAGAAATAAAGCAACGTTTTATAAATCAACAAAAGGAAATGAAAAAAAAATGTATCCCAAGAATTGAACCTCGATCTGGCCATGGACAGCAGCAATATGCAAAGCCGAGTTGCGATCGTAAACCGTGTAATGATGAACAAAAGCCGAATCCCTTCCCAATACTTCCTCGACGGTAGCTAAATGCCCCAACCGAACTGCAATTAAATATTCCTTCTCTTCATTACTTCCGCAGCTTAGCCCCTGACCCATTATTATCCTCTTCTCTTTTTTTCTTTTATTTTTTTTTTCTCTCAAAGAATTATGCTTTGCACATCTTTCACACGGTGGTGGTGCACCAGCGGCCTGAGAGATGCACCACCGTTGGAGGTGGGTGGGTGGACAGGTGTTTGCCTGAAAGGGAAAGTGCTGTCCTTACTTTTATATTTGTATTATAAATATTGTGATGTGATGCATATAAAATAATGCTGAGCTGCCCGGGAATGAGTAAAAGGTGTCGGGCGATGAGGGGATTGCTGACCGTGGTCAGCACTGAAGTCATGAGATATTTCCCGGGCAGTCTAATCAATAAAATATTCATACAGCTGACTGCTCAAACTATTGTGTAGGACCTGTTAGTCAATGCGTTATCAGGAAAAGAAATGAAGCGAGAAAATGAAAAAAGGNGGAAGATTTTTCGGAGGCAAATCTGGTTAGATCTACTTTCAAACAATTTGATAGTTTTTGTGGGTGAGGTAACATGAAATATAATTTGGGTAATTGAATATATGATTGATGTAAAATGGAAATATCATAATTATGTAATAAAATAATAGTCGATGGTTAGATAAATTTTAACGTTCCGTTATTTTTAAAAGGAATCTCTCAAGTTTTAAAAAATGAGAATAGAATTTTCGAAAATCATCTTTCGACTTAAAACATTTTAACGGGCGCTACTCAGATTATTCATTCATTTTACTCGGCTTATACCACATCTTAGATCATTGGGAACTCATTGTCCAATTTCTCATCACTAACATATGAAATAATCCAATAATCAATCATAATAATCTCGAAATAAAATCATCCAATTCAACAGTTAAAAAACCGTCCATACATAAGTTTTTTAACACAAAGTCAAGCGGAAGCAGTTCATAACAGAGTTCATATTATTAAAATGACTACACTCGTCCGTCCTTTGCCACGGCCACCAGCTTAACCTGAAAAAGATAGTAATAATGGGGGTGAGCAAACACTAGCTCACCGTGGGAATTACCGTGTGCATATATTCAGTATCATAACATATAGCAAAAACGCAACATGGACATGAATCAATAATATATTATCACATCTATTATCATATCATATAATGCTCAATTGTACACTTGTATAATTGCTGAAGGTCGATATGCATCCGACGACGGGAGCATTTGTCGAATGTCAAATCCGCATCCAACGACAAGGCCTTCCATTAGGCTATAGAGGAGACTGCCTTTCATTAGGCACTGTCCACGGTCGAAACCGCATTCGACGACGAGGATACCGTATCGAAGGTCGAATTTGCATCCAACGACAAGGCCTTTCATTAGGCTATAGAGGAAACTGCCTCTCATTAGGCATCGTCGACGGTTGATTATAAAGAATAACGACATAGTAAAGTTTATCAACACCCACATGTTCGGATAAGAGAGAAAAGATGCAACAGCTGACCGGTAGGTTTGAGGGCTCGACTCCTCATAGACCTACATTTTAGGCGAGATAATTCTCATCAATAAATTATCTCATCACTTGGAAAAAGTATCGAATTTCTCACTTACTCAAAAGTTAATGATTAAGGAGTCTATAAAAACTTTAATGGAACTTGGAACTCTCGGTTCGAGGAATAACAATCGGAAACTTATTTTAAAACGGATAAAAATTGGGTTTTGCAATTAAAAAAAGTTCAACGGCCCTAAAAAAGGGCTCAACGACTCAGGGTTTGTGCGCTGTCACCTGAGAGGCGGCACGCCTGCTGGCGCTGCTTATGCGTGCACACACACTTCCACGGAGACCCGCTACAGTCAAGGATTGGCCGCACCCACTATCTGGGGAGTTCGCACAGTCGGCGATGGCAGCTCTAGTTCTCATGCGAGTTGATGGTCGACCCCAAAAATTTGGCTCTCGGTTCAAGGTTCACAACAACAATAAACCATGTCCAGACTGATCCCGAACGTCCAGCCAAGATTTGGCTCTTGGTTCAAGGTTCACAACAACATCAAGCAAATGTTTATCTCACAAAAATTTCCCCAAGGTTCTCAACTACAATATTGCACGACACAAAAGAGGGTTCAACTCTTCACAAGGTGAATAAGGCTACACTTCAAGGTTGAAACATGAGTTCCAAGTCCACCAAATTTCACACAATTAATCACACAAATATATGTATATGCATATATATATATATATATATATATATATATATATATATATATATATATAGAGAGAGAGAGAGAGAGAGAGAGAGAAGGGATCATTTGAGAAAGGGAGATAGTGAAAGAAATAAGAATGAACCTACACCATTTGATCAATGAAGTCAATGGCTATGATGAAGTCAAAATTTTCATAAATAATGGTCAATCATTAATGGCAATTTAGTAATTATTTGAACTATTATAATCAAATATGTACATTTGACCAATAATTAAGGTTAAGTTGGTAATTATACCTATATTACATTGACCCACAATTTATTTTTTATTCTCCTCTTTCTCTCACAAAGACACGATTTCACACACACACACACACACACACTCTCCAGCGACCCCGGCGGAAATCAGCCAACAAACACCCGGTCTCCGCCGCCGCCACCGGATCGCCGCCGTTGCCTCCGATGCCATCCCGTCGACCGCCGTTATCCATCTCTAGCAGCGCCCTCCCTCTCCCGTCCTTCCGGACACGCCGGAATCATCCCACCACAAACCACCGGCCACTGCCATTTGCCCACTTTCTCCCGTCGCTGCCCAATTTATCGCCGCCGTCGCCGCCGCTAACATCACGTCGAGCGCTGTCAGCCATCCCTGTCTCAAACTCACGCAGCCGCCCGTCGAGCACCCCAATTTTACTAATGGCGAGGGCCGCCGTTCCGGCGAGTTGCAGAGGATGCTATTGTGGCTGAGGAATTGAACGGGATGAGCTCGCCGGCGATCTGAACTGGAGATGAGAAGCGACGGCCGGAGATGCTATTGTGGCTGAGGAATTGAATCGTGATTTGGTTGAATTTTGAATTGGCTGATTTTATGTGAAAGATTTGGGTGAATTGGATCATATGTGATTCCTGTGAATGATTCATGTGAACGATTTGGTTGATTCATGTGAAGAATTTGGTGAACTTGCTGTGAACGATTTAGGTGAGATTTTATTTTGGGTGATTTTATTTTCGGTGAATTTACTGTGAACGATTTTCGCTGAATTTGCACTCTGATTCTTTGAACGATTTTAGGTGAATTGGCAGGGTGAAGTGAAATGCAATTTTGGTTGATTTGGGTGAGAATTGATTTAGGGGTTAGTTTTATGTAAATTAGGTTAGTGTTAGGGACTTTTTGTAATTTTTGTAAAACTTTAATTATGACGTAAATTTAATTATGACATAAATTAATTAGTGATATAAATATTTATACTAAGTTATTAAGAATTTAATAAATACAAAGGTAGTGTTAAGTATTAAAACCTAAAAAAAAATGTTATCGTAATAATAATAATAATAACTATAATATAACAAAAATATAAAAATTCGTACCGAATTTCTGTTCGTTTGATAGCGTTCGTTTTTGTGCAATGTGATAGACAATTGTGTGCAATATGTATAACTCTAATGTGCAATCGGAATATATATATATATATAATATAGATAAAAAACAGTATTAATTATTATAAAAAACATAAATAAATAAATAATTCGTAATATTTTTATGTATAGTTCGGCATGTGCGGTTATTTTGTTTATTAAAAAAAATACTAATTCTGACATTAACCAACTAATATTAGTCAATCAATTATTAGAATTACTGTAATTTTGATAAGTGCAACGTGTTGTGTTATAAGGTGCATATTTTTGTTGTATAAAGTGCAATTTATTGATATATAAAGTGCAATACTGATATTCTAATATATTATCATTAATGGG